ATATAAATTTTTTGTTTATAATAATTTCAACCTTTAAAAAAAATCATATTTTTTGGGGGTTAAATTATACATTTTTCATTGTTATGTTACCATACACGTTTTCACTTTTGTTTTTTTAGAGTGTATTCTAATTAAGCTACCAGATGTATTCTCAAATTTTGAAAATGCAAATTCATTTTCTTATTTTCATTCTCTAAAAATATTCTCATAAAACATTCTTCGAAAACGTTACCAGACGGGCCTTAAAGAGAAGAAAAGATAAAGAAAATTCAAGCGGAAGCATTTTTGGTGAGCTCAAAAGAAATGCTTTTGCTTAAAAGAAGCGCAAAAGCATTGCAGAAAGAAAGCTTTAAGTCATAAATCGCCCGCCACCAATTCATCAGTATTTTTTAAAGACATAGGATCAAAAGGATATATATACCAAGGTTTCATATACCATACAATCAATTAAATTATCTGAGATTTAGAGAGATACAATCAATTGAATTAGCCAGATCTCAGCACACAATATATAAACATTAAAGTGAGAGCCCTCATTTTTCACTTGTTGAAGTTCTCAGCACAACATAAGTTGCAGCCAGCAAACCTAAAGTTTTATAGATTTGGCACACAGTCTTGAATGGATATATATATATATTAGGCCCTCAGTTTTGGCACTCCACCTTTGGCTACCCAAATCATGTTCCAATGGATTCCACATTTTTAATTTCCTAATCGTAGTCATATATAAGTGAATTGGTAACATATTACACTCAATCTAACCTTCAGCAAATGAGAGAGAAACCATGTTCCGTTGGATTCCACATGTTTGAATGTACTACATGGGGCAAGGCATGGTACTTCTGTGATATCCATTAATGCCTCCTATAAGGCCTTCACCTAGTGTCCAAACTCCAAAACCTTTCGTCATTATAACTTATGAGCACAATGCAATACCCATAAATATCCAACACTTCTTTGAATCACAATCACATTTCTCATCCAAAACCCAAAAAATGGATCTCAACCTCTCAACCCTCCTCTGCTTAACCCTACTTTTCTCCACCATCCTAAACCCAGCTCTCTCCGAGCTCTGCAACCCGAAAGACAAGAAAGTCCTCCTACAATTCAAGAAAGCCTTCAACGACCCCTACATCTTGGCCTCATGGAACCCACAGACAGACTGCTGTGACTGGTACTCTGTCACCTGTGACTCCATCCACAAACCGCATCACTGCTCTCACCCTCTTCTCCGGCGGACTCTCTGGTCAAATCTCTCCCCAAGTTGGCGACTTGCCATATCTTGAATTGAAACCCTAATGTTCCACAAGCAACCCAATCTCACTGGCCCAATTCAACCCTCCATTGCCAAGCTTAAGAGCCTCAAGGAGCTGCGCCTCAGCTGGACTAACATCTCAGGCTCTGTCCCTGACTTTCTCAGCCAACTCAAGAACCTCACCTTTCTTGAACTCTCATACAATAACCTCACAGGCTCCATCCCCAGGTCACTTTCTCAGCTTTCAAACCTCGGCGCTCTTCATCTAGACCGTAACAAGTTCACAGGTCTCTTCCAAATTTTCGTATAATTATCTTGATGTCGATTTTCTGTTAACATCCATATTTAAAGCCTTGCTTGCTTACAGGTCCTATTCCGAAGTCATTCGGAGAATTCCATGGCAGTGTTCCAGCTCTCTATCTCTCCCACAACCAGCTCTCAGGCAAGATACCAACCTCATTAGCCAAACTGGACTTCAGCACCATAGACTTCTCCCGGAACAAGCTCGAAGGTGATGCATCCATGCTCTTCGGATTGAACAAGACAACCCAGATTGTGGGTCTGTCGAGGAACTTGCTGGAATTTGATCTGTCAAAGGTGAAGTTTTCGAAGAGCTTGTCTTCCTTGGATCTCAACCATAACAAGATCACAGGCAGTATTCCAGTATGGCTGACCCAAGGGGATTTGCAGTACCTGAACGTGAGCTACAACAGGTTGTGTGGTCAGATTCCCGTGGGTGGGAAGTTGCAGAGCTTCGACTCCTCGACGTATTTCCATAACCGATGCTTGTGCGGTACTCCACTCCCAAGCTGCAAGTAATTCCCCCCGGCTATGGAAGATTAAATTTGGCCAGCAATTTCATTACCACTTTGCAGTTATATACTTCTGTTTGATAAAATAAGGGCTTCATGCAATAATCTACTAGTGCGAAACAGGCTACAGCTTCTTCTAATAACCAAGTAGTAAGGAATTAATAAGTTTTGTTTTGTGTGCCAACAAATCACTTGCTCAAAATGAAAATAGAGTAATGCTTGGGTGAGAGGGAGGATTGACTTTAGTATTAGTGTTTTGCACATTTCTATTTGTTTCAAAAATAAATTGAAAAGAATTATCCTTCCTTACAAATTTGGACTCGAAAATTTGCTATGCTTATAATCATCACCCAAAAAAAAGCAAGTCTAAATAAACATTTTCAATTACTTTTAAAATTCTCCCAACAATCATATAGGAACCAAGTAAAATTTTGAAAAAATCTTTGAAATGCAGTCATACATAGAACATATAGCTTTAACCAATGCGAAAGAATCCAAACCTGAAAGTCTTCTTCTCTAACCATGGGCGCTGCTCCCTTAATTTCAAGTTTTTTTTAAGTCCTTGGCCTCCACAAAAAGAAAAAGCCTCTTTTGTTGTTAATTTGTTATTTTCAATTTCCTTATTTTTTTTGGTCTACGTAGACGCACATAGGCTTAAACTTTCATCCATGCAATGCGATTGAATATAAAATTTCTTCTATAAAATAGAGACTAAATGTCACTTGACTAAATAGTCAATGATTTATCTCCTCTTCTTTAGGTATCGTTTTTTTCCCTAACTTGTTCTTTCGGTTGAGAGGTGGACCGAAGCCGAAACAAGCAGAGAAACAAACTAACACAGCACAACCCAAGCCTAGGCCAGCTATGCCATCATCAGCTAGAAAAAAAAAAAAAAAAAGAACCAGACAAAAATCTTACCGTTTCACCCTTATAATCATCAGAGGGTGATTAATTAAGTCATCCTTTGTAGTCTTCTAGATTTCAATGTGGAGAGAGTAGATTGTAATGGAAAATTGCTATCCAAAGACAATTAGTTTGAGCTGAGGGAGTGAACAGAAGGGTGTTGTTGGATGATTAGTAATTTGTTTTTTATTTTTTGTTTTTTTTTGTTGGATGGAGTAAACAAATTAGCTAGTAATTTGGTTTAGGTGTTCAGAAAATGTTCCCAAATATCAAGTAGTGTTCAAAGAAACAAGGGTATCCAAACACAAAATTGGGTGTGAAAAAGACGCAAGCCCAACTGAAAGCTGCGTCCAAGTTGGCCGAATGTTCAGGTGGTCCATTTTTCTCCAATATATGACGAGCTTTATAATGAGGGAATACGTTGATGGGTGTGTTGAGGGGTTGGATTTGGCCATCTAATAATAGTTCTGTAATTAATCTTATAGCTATTAAGGACTCTCTCATTATATAACCAACTAGACAAACTCTAGCCCCTTCTCTCCCAAAAAAACACTCCTAGAGCCGTTTTCACTTTGAGGGGGGAGGAAACCACTGTTTTCCCTTCCCTCTCCCCTCTTCTCTTCCGCCCTTTTCCTCTTCTCCCATTTTTCAGAGACAATGATTTACCTATTTGTCTTCGTTTTGTTATGATTTTCCTCCAACCATCACAAGCGGCTACATCTCGGCATCAGATCTCCACCACCATTCTTTTTGCGGTTTCTTTATGTTCGGAATAAGTCGCATAGACTCTTTGGGTTCTCTGTATAGTTTTCACCTCTCTTTTTGTGAGAGTTTTTCACATCTCTTCCGTGAGAGCTTTTGGATTGGTTTATCTCTTTTTTATTATTCTGAGTTTGCAATCTTAGTTGGGATGCCTATGCTAGAGTTTCTTCGATCCTACGTGATCGTTAGTGGAGGTGGACTAGATTGTCTTAATTTTACTGTTAGATTGCTCTGTTATTATAATGGCCTTTTGTGGCTAGTTTGTATTAGCCTTTTATGACTAGTGGCTTTTTTGGCTGAATTATAAATTTAATCCTAAAATTTCTATTAAAAAAGGACTCTCTCATTATAACCCTCATTACAGTCTCTCGCTCACTTGAGAACTCAAAGTTAAGCCCATTGCTCTTGCAACTATTAACTTGTTCTGTCATATAAAATGACCCTATTGTTATGGTGGTGTTGTACAGATTGAATAGAATTCAACATGGTTAGATGAATTATTTTTTATAATGTGAGTTTGTGAGAACAATAAATCATTTAGGCTGAAAACAAAAGCTAAGGCTCTGCCGACACAGAATGCTTTCATATCATAGTCAAGTCATACTACAAACTAAACAAGCAAAAATCATTGACTTTCCACCAAGTTAGGGTTGAATTAATTCGGCATTTTTGTAAGGATATAGGATCAAAAGGATACCAAGGTTTCATATACCATACACCAGTTGAGGAAGACAACTTGGTGAAGCTCAATGTGGTGGAGGTTTATATGAGATTTTTAGAGAGATACAAGCAATTGAGTTAGCTAACTTTAGCATTTAAAGTCATCTCCATTTGCCAGATCTCAGCACACAAAAGATAAAGATTGAACAGAAGCCATCATCTTTGACTTGTTCCAAGTTCTCATAACAACAAAGTTATGCAGCACTCCACAAATATCAGTCTTGGTTAGAATTAGGCCCTCTGCTTTTGGCACTCCACCTTTGGCCAATCAAATCATGTTTCCCACATCGATTCCACATTTTTTTACCCTTCTTCCTCTCCTCTTGTCTCAATTTTACTTTCCCAGATTATGTTACTTGAGCGTTATAGTATATGAGAGGATTGATAACATCACGTGATGATATTACGCTTACACAGCCTTTAGCAAATATACGAGAGACTGGCTATGAAATTAACAAACACATAACATGTTTGAATGGTCTATGGAGCAAAGCAAAGCATGTTACTTGTGTGATATCCATTAATGCCTTCTATAAGACCTTCACCAACTGTCCAAACTCCAAAATCTTTCGTCAGTGTATGCACATCATCCAAAATCATAAATACTTTGACTTATATGCATATGCAATACCTATAAATATCCAACACTTCATTGAATCACAATCACATTTCTCAATCCAAAACCCAAAAAATGGACCTCAAGCTCTCCACCCTCCTCTGCTTGACCCTACTCTTCTCCACCATCCTAAGCCCAGCTCTCTCCGAGCTCTGCAACCCGAAAGACAAGAAAGTCCTCCTACAAATCAAGAAAGCCTTTAACGACCCCTACGCCTTGTCCTCATGGAACCCAAAGACAGACTGCTGTGACTGGTACTCTGTCACCTGTGACTCCACCACAAACCGCGTCAACTCCCTCACCCTCTTCTCCGGCGGACTCTCCGGTCAAATCCCTCCCCAAGTCGGCGACTTGCCATATCTTGAACTCCTTCAGTTCCACAAGCAACCCAATCTCACTGGCCCAATCCAACCCTCCATTGCCAAGCTCAAGAGCCTCAAGGAGCTGCGCCTCAGCTGGACTAACATCTCAGGCTCTGTCCCTGACTTTCTCAGCCAACTAAAGAACCTCACCTTTCTTGAACTCTCATTCAATAACCTCTCAGGCTCCATCCCCAGCTCGCTTTCCCAGCTTCCAAACCTCGACGCTCTTCATCTAGACCGTAACAAGCTCACAGGTCATATTCCGAAGTCATTCGGAGAATTCCACGGCAGTGTTCCAGAGCTCTATCTCTCCCACAACCAGCTCTCAGGCAACATACCAACCTCATTAGCCAAACTGGACTTCAACCGCATAGACTTCTCCCGGAACAAGCTCGAAGGCGATGCATCCATGATCTTCGGATTGAACAAGACAGCCCAGATTGTTGATCTGTCGAGGAACTTGCTGGAATTTAATCTATCAAAGGTGGAGTTTTCAAAGAGCTTGACTTCGTTGGATCTCAACCATAACAAGATCACAGGCAGTATTCCGGTGGGGCTGACCCAATTGGATTTGCAGTTCCTGAACGTGAGCTACAACAGGTTGTGTGGTCAGATTCCAGTGGGTGGGAAGTTGCAGAGCTTCGATTCCTCAGCATATATCCATAACCGGTGCTTGTGCGGTGCTCCACTCCCAAGCTGCACGTAATTCCGGCGGCGATGGAAGGTTTGGCCAGCAATCACTTTGCAGTTATATAGGTGTTTGATAAAATAAGGGCTTCATGCAATAAGCTACCAGTGCTACACAGGCTACAGCTTTGTGTAACCAAGCAGTAAGGAATTAATAAGATTAGTTTTGTGCATTATGCCAACAAATCACTTGCTCAATTAGGTAACATAGAAAACTTTGCCAGTGTAAGGCCAACAGTTGCATGCTTTAATACTCCCTCACAGAAAGCCACAACAGCAGAGTGTGGAGAGAGAAAAGGAAGGGTTGCAACAGATGTAGGGTGCAGTGATCCAACCATTGCAGCATGCACTCCTCCTAGATTCCACAGAATGTTTTGGGCAAACCCAACTGAAAGCTATGTCCAAGTCGCCCCAAAGGTCAAGAAGTCCAATTTTCTCTGATATGACGATTTTCATAATGAGGGGATATGTTGAGGGTGTGTTGTAACCTCATTATAACCCTTTGTTAAAAGTTAAAACACACATCACAGTCTGCAGCACTTGGTGCCATCATGAAGGCATGATTAGGAATCTTTTGCAGAATAGCATTGTCTAAACTTAGTATGATATCATGTTCTATGTAATCAAGTGTTTCATTAGTTTAATGTTAGAATTTCTTGGGTGAGACCGCGACAGAGGACAGCCTTATACTAGAATTTCTCTGGCACTAGAATGTGGCTTGGACAGTGAGTTAAAGCACATTACATTGAATTTGCCAATTGGCTTGGGCAGCAGCAGCTCTCTGGCCTCAGACTGACCATGAAGAAATAAAAATGTAGCATCTAGGGTTTAGAGGTCAACAATACATAATAAAGCTAGCTAACATAGATCACCAATTTCAACTCATATATAAACAAAGACATAAAATTCTCCCAACAATCATAGATAGAAACCAATTCAAATTTTGAAATGCAGTGATGCATAGAATATAACTTTAACCAAGCAAAGCATAATACGATGACTTTGATCCAAACCCAAAATGCGAAAGAATCCAAAGCTGAAAGATTTCTTCTGTAACTGAAATTGAAAGTTTGATGACATTGAGCAAAACTAAGAAAACCAAAGATCTAGATTTGGCAAAGAGCAAAGAAAAGCAAAGAAAAACAATATTAACAGTAAGGGTTAATGCTAGCTTGTGAATGCAATGGGAGCTGCTCCATTACTTTCATCTTGCTTAAGTCATTGGCCTCCACAAAAAGACAAAAGCCTTTTTTTTTTTTTTTGGCATAGTTACGTATAGACTTAAATTTTCATCCATGTGATGCAATTGAATATAAAATTTTTGTTCGACAAAGTAGAGACTAAAATAGTCAATGATTTATCTCCTCTTCTTTAGCTATCATTTTTTTTTTCCTAACTTGTTCTTTCGGTTGAGAGGTGGACCAAAGCTGAAAACAAGTGGCTAGGGCTAGTGCGAACTCTCATATATCGTAGTAAATCTATGCCACAAATAAACTATTTCATTAATCATTAACAAAAACTCTCCCTCGTGCTAGTGGCCTAGTACTAGCAACACCGATATTGTCCCTAACTTAACCACCTACAAAGCCTAGTATGTGTGAAGCTTTATCGCAAAAGGCCTCGATTATATTAGTAGTGGAACCATTCATTATATCTTGTATTTTATTTAGTCAAATTTCTGTTGTGGGACTTATATTCTTCAACACGCCCTCTCACATGGGACCACTACATAGTGGGTCACATGTGGAGCCAGGTACGCATAGGAGTCAAACATTCAAGCCCAACATGTGAACGCCACATGGGTAAGGGTAAAACCCAATAATTCAGGCCCAATCAATCAACTCACTCTTATACCATGTCAAATTTCAGAGAGACGGGCTAGTGCCCCACTACTAGCAACACATATATTGTCCCAAACTTAACCGTTTACAAAGCTCAATAAGTGTGAGGTTTTATCATAAAAAGCCTAAGTGATATTCGAGGTGGAACCATTCATTATATCTTTATATTTTATTTAGTCAAATTTTTGATGTGAGAATTATATTCTTCAACCTGCTCAAGTTGGATGAATGGTCAAGAGCTCCTTATTTCCAATACTTGACAAAACTGAACAGCGGCTTTAGAATCACATTCCACCTCAAGTATAGTGTTCCTGAACAATTTTTTTTGTTCTTTAATATGAAAGTCTGAAAAAGAATTTAAAAACATTGTTAAAGGATTTTCATTAAAGAAGAAGATGATGGACTCATTGAATAAATGCATGATTTATTAGCAAAATTATGCAAGATAGAAGCATACTTAGATTACACTAGTTGACCAGGATTACAAAATTATTAATTTTTACAACATGATATCATATAAAATGATGGTGTTGTACAGATTGAGTAGAATTCAACATGGCTATATATCAATAATTTTTTATAATGTGAGTTTGTGAGACCAGTAGATCCTTGGGCTGAAAACAGAAGGTAAGGATCCACCGACATGATAATGCTTACTCATCATAGTCAAGTCATACTACAAACCAAACAAGCAAGTACCATTGACTTTCCACACGTTTATTCCCGCCACGAATTCTGCAGTTGAGGAAGACAACTTGGTGAAGCTCAATGTGGTGGAGGGTTATCTGGGATTTAGAGAGATACAATCAATTGAATTAGCTTTCAAAGTCACCTCCATTTTCCAGATCTCAGCACACAATAAATAAACAAAGAGAGAGCCTTCATTTTTGACTTGTTGAAGTTCTCAGCACAACAAAGTTATGCAGCTAGCAAACCTAAAGTTTTTTAGATTTGGCTCCTCACAGTAACAAAATAGCAGTCTTGGTTAGATATAGGTCCTCAGCTTTGGCACTCCACCTTCGCCGCAGGTGCGGAGCTAGGATTCAATGTTTGAGGGGCCTATAAGTTGAAATATAGTATGAAATTTTATATATCAACCTTATCATCTCCTTCTGGATGCTATAGATATACAAAAGGAATTGAAAACAACGGGGGAGACAGGGCCACTTCTCGCCTAGGCCTCCCTCCCCCATTGTAGCCAACCAAACCATGTTCCCATGGATTCCACATTCTTTATCCTTCTTCCTCTCCTCGTCTAAATTTTACTTTCCCCAAATAACAGAGATTATGTGTAGAAAGAATTTATTTTCTTAACCGTAATGATATATAAGTGAATTAATAATATCATGTGACAATATTACGCTCACGTCGAGAATTTACTGCAGATTATGAAAGCAGCCTTTAGCAACTTAGAGAGACTGGCTATTGAATTGCCAAATATATATCATGTTTGAATGGACTACAGCAAAGCATGTTACTTTTGTCATATATATCCATTAAATGCCTCCAATAAGACCTTCACCACCTGTGCAAACTCCAAAATCTTTCGTCATCATATCCATCATCCAAAATCAGAAACACTTTGACGTATATATGCACATGCAATACCTATATATATCCCAACTCTTCGTTGAATCGCAATCACATTTCTCATCCAAAACCCACAAAATGGACCATAAGCTCTCCACCCTCCTCTGCTTGACCCTACTCTTCTCCACCATCCTAAACCCAGCGCTCTCCGAGCTCTGCAACCCAGAAGACAAGAAAGTTCTCCTACAAATCAAGAAAGCCTTCAACGACCCCTACGTCTTGACCTCATGGAAGTCAGAGACAGACTGCTGTGACTGGTACTGTGTCACCTGTGACTCCACCACAAACCGCATCAACTCCCTCACCATCTTTGCCGGCCAAGTCTCCGGTCAAATTCCGACCCAAGTCGGTGACTTGCCGTATCTTGAAACACTTGAGTTTCACAAGCAACCCAATCTCACCGGACCAATCCAACCCTCCATTGCCAAGCTTAAGAGCCTCAAGGAGCTGCGCCTCAGCTGGACCAACATCTCAGGCTCTGTACCTGACTTCCTCAGCCAACTCAAGAACCTCACCTTTATTGACCTCTCATTCAGTAACCTCACAGGCTCCATCCCCAGCTCGCTTTCTCAGCTTCCCAACCTCAACGCTCTTCGTCTAGACCGTAACAAGCTCACAGGTCTGTTCTTCCTTGATATATCTCTTTCTACCAAGCGCCCAGAAAGAAAGATACAACTTTGTTCAAAATTTTCATATAATTTATCTTGATACCGATAGTTAATATTTTCCGTTAACTTCCATAGTTAATACCCTTGCTTGCTTACAGGTCATATTCCGAAGTCATTCGGAGAATTCCACAGCAGCGTTCCAGATCTCTATCTCTCCCACAACCAGCTCTCAGGCACCATACCAACCTCATTAGCCAAACTGAACTTCACCACCGTAGACTTCTCCCGGAACAAGCTCGAAGGCGATGCATCCATGATCTTCGGATTGAACAAGACAGCCCAGATTGTTGATCTGTCGAGGAACTTGCTGGAATTTAATCTATCAAAGGTGGAGTTTTCCAAGAGCTTGACTTCGTTGGATCTCAACCATAACAAGATCACAGGCAGTATTCCGGTGGGGCTGACCCAATTGGATTTGCAGTTCCTGAACGTGAGCTACAACAGGTTGTGTGGTCAGATTCCAGTGGGTGGGAAGTTGCAGAGCTTCGATTCCTCAGCATATATCCATAACCGGTGCTTGTGCGGTGCTCCACTCCCAAGCTGCACTTAATTCCGGCGGCGATGGAAAATTTGGGCAACAATTTCATTGACACTTTGCAGTTATATAGGTGTTTGATAAAATTGGGGCTTCATGCAAATGAGCAACCAGTGCTACAGGCTACAGCTTTATGTAACCAAGAAAGGAATTAATAAGATTTGCTTTGTGCAATTTGCCACCATATAATGAACAAAAATACGAGCGAGTAAACTTATGCCAACAAATCACGTGCTCAAAATGAAAATAGAACAACTTTGCCAGTAAATGTTGTCCATACAATGTTAGGTACCTCGCAAATGAGAATACAACAGGAAATGGATGTTATGAGAATACATCAGGAAATGGGTATTTCATGAAAGCGCCCCCTTTTCCCCATTCTTTTAGGGGGTGTTCCAGATGTCAGCTGTATCTAGTTTTTTACAAGTTTGGTGTGGTGAATTAGAGCTTAAGATTACCATATCAGAATCAGTACAGGGCCTTCACATGTCATGCCAATGTCACAATGGAGCCTCCTTCCATTGCAATCTGTCAAGTCCATCCACAATGGCCCTGCGGAACTCACCGTTGTGGAGAAGGAAAGATGAAACATGGCCACCAGTGACCCATCTTACTTCTGAACCTGGCCAAGCTTTTTGCAGCTCCAGCACAGAGTGTTTTGGAATGTACCCATCATCCTAAAACATGAAACAGCCGAAGGAAAAAACTTGTAAAGCTAAGCAAGACACAAAAATCAGCAAACTAAAGAAAATCTGTGAAATTATTGCACACTACAGAGATCACTTATTTATCAACAGTGAAATAGAGAGGCCAGTTTATCTCCAACATCAAAATTTAGATGGAAAAAAACTTTGAACACTAGAAGCCTATTAAGTAATGCAGAACTTCTACATTCCACAATGACTTACATTACATGGGAGGACAAAGAGAAACAGGAAGAAGAAGCTTCAAAGAATCTTTACATATATAATGGCATTTTTCGTTTTATTAGGAGTAGCATAAATTGGTAGGTTATCATCAAAAGTAGGAACTTGGTAGGT